ATAATAATAATAATAATAATAATAATAATCCATATAAACTGGACTAGGTTTAGGTTTGGTAAAGGGGGGAGGTGTGTCTAAATCACGTTACGTGAAAGTACAAAGGCCTTCGCACAATTTACGGAAAATGAAATCCGCATTTCACATATCACGACCAAAGGAGAAGTTTTCACTCGAATTTTCAAAATTTATGAGACTTTTAAAGATAGAGTCCAAAGAACAGCTCAGCGTGTTCGCCATTTATCCGCTTCTTTTATTCCACAAGAAGCAAAATTAAAACCCCATCTATTGAAGACTAATAGGATGGAACGAATATCCTTTCACGATTATGCAATGATAACTGAATGCCGTAATGAGTTAATGATGGGGCTCCAAAAATACTTGAAAATATAATCAAAATAAGGGTTCAGGAGTGATTGTGAGTTGCACGTTTATTTCTCAATTGACAGAATTGTAATTTGAGAAATCATGGCTCGCGGCTACTAAGGAAATCAATTCACGAGGAAAAAAAAATTCACATTTTACGAAAAAAAAAACCGCTATTCACGCGTCACGAAATACCTTTCACCGCGCTCTTGAATGTTCTATTTGTATCGCTTAGATCTTCAGTTGTAACGAAGGGCTACAATTCACGGCCGTGGGACTTTTTAGACGTGCCAGCAATCAAGTCAAGTCAGGATAAAATCTCCCTGTCGATTACAAAATTAAGTACAGCTTGTGAGTGAGAAATGCCCCTTCGAAAAATAAAAGACTAATAGGACACCTTGTATCATGTGTTTTCGCCGAAATTTAACGAACAGACAATTTTTGATCTCCTTCCGAACAGACCATATTTTTCCGGGATTTTTCGTAAGGAGGCTTAACCTTTTGGGAACAATATTACCGAGTTACATTAATATTGATCTTGTTTAAGTTAATCCCACTCGCGAAAGAAGTTAAATCAGTTCTGTAACTGTCACAACATTCGCGTAAGGCACGTGACGGTGCACTATCTTTTATGTTCCCAATTTAACCAGTCTGACATAATTCACAGCCTAGCTTGGGTTTAACGTCGTAGAGTGGGGCAAGAATGATTGCGCGTGACTGAGTGGCATGGGGGATCGTAGAGAAAAGTGAACATCATTCACAAGTTTTCGTCGCGAAAAGAGTTAATCATCAATTCGCCTGGTCTTTTGAGTTTCTTCAAGCCTCTGATACAGATGTCGTTTTTAATTCCTTCATCTAGCAGTGCACCATTGTGCTTAATCACCCTTTGTCGACCAAGCACTAAGTGTCATCTCAATCTTAGACCCGGGAAGATCGAGGTAAACCCACAACGAGTGGCCAATCCCGTACTGGTACTGCTTGCACACACCAAACAGATCGTCAAGAGATTTCCAGACCGCCAAAACGCTTGTTATATGCCAAATAACTTAAAGAATTTGCAGGGTAGGTGTATATTTCAGGCGAAAACCTCATGAAATGTAAACTATGCCTCGACGTAAGCTTATATGGCGTTCGGCCAAACCATCGCAAGCTTGCATGCAAGGTGCGAGTAATTTCCAGCGATCGGCCTTATGGCTATGAGAATCACTGAACGAAGAAGTTGTCATGGAAAGGTCATGCGCCATGTGAAAGGAACATCAAATATGGCTTTGAAAGCTTAAGTTACAAGGGCCCGTTTTTGGCAAAAGAATCAAAGAGCTGTTTTAATCTGACAAAAGTTGACAAAGGACAATCTTTCCAGAAATAAAGTTGTCTTAATTACATTGTTTTCCGGCTTGGTTGCCACAGGTCAGGAAATGGCCAGGGAA